CTTGAACCAGCTTGTCTGTCCGTCCGTCCGTCTGTCTGTCCGTAGATATTTTGTCCGGACAACTTCTTCAAAAGTAATGGACCGATTTCAACGAAACGTTCTAGATATAACTACCACCTGAACTTGTGCATCAATGTATTTGTTTTTCATTCTGACCCTTTTTTACGAAGTTATGGGACTTTGTTGAAAACCCCCTTTTTTGTCCAGACAACTCCTTCTAAAGTTATGGATTGATTTTAACGAAAGTTTTCAAATATGATAACTACCAGCTGCAATTTCGCATCCGGGTATTTTTTTTCATTCTGACTCCGTTTTACAAAGTTATGACCCTTTATTGAAAAATCCTTGTCTGGACAACTCCTCCAAAACTACAGGGCCTATTTCAACGATAGTTTTCATAAATGATAACTACTACCTGCAGTTATGCATCATGGTGTTTTTTTTCCATTCTGAACACTTTTACAAAGTTATTGCCCTTTGTTGAAAAATGCATGCCCGCAAACATTCTCCAATACTTTTGGGCCAATGTCATTGAATTTTTTCACATATTGTAATTACCCCCTGACGTTGTGCATTCAAGTAGTACTTTTTCATCCAAGTAATACTTTATCATTCCAACCCTTTAAAATGAGTTATGGGCTAACAAGATTTGGTATGTTAGTATGTTTTGGAATGGGGAGGGAGTACAGGATGTTTGTCAGTGACCTGTATACTTCAATAAGTGTACAGCTCAGTCAATAAAGAAATCATTACTGGTGGGAGGCAATGCTTTGCCTTAGTAAGCCGTAAGCTTACAGTTCTGGTTTATATAGGAGCAGGAGTGTTAGTGAGCCTTTAGCTTACAGTTCTAGTTTAACTTTTTTTCGTGCCCCCTGTCATCTCCTATCAAGGGCATTTAATTAACTCCTCCTTCTTCACATATTCGGTAACTCAAGTCTCGCTATCGGTGTATGTTTCCCCTCCCTTATGTTTATAGATATTTAGGTAATATATTTTTAAGTAAGTACTATTTAATCATCAAATTATTTTTAATTTTTCTGGCCTTATTTGGAGCTCACTGCGCATGAACAGATTACTAATCAATTAAATGTTTGTGTAAACTAGTTCGTATATTAATCTGTAAAATTGAGTTTAAATAAATTGACCCGGTAATTATTTAAGCCCCACCGATGCAGTTCGGTCTACTTTCCTCTTATCAGCAACACCTGTTACACTGTTAAAAGTCGGCACTACTCCCACTGTCAGCATTGTCAACTTAATGTCTTTATAAATAGAGCATATCGTCCCTTAACCAGACACTGTTTATCTGATGCTCACTCTCAAATACTCCTTGAGACCCTCTCTGCTCTATCATAAAATGACACTTGACTGTGCAATGTTAGAAGTGTGTCGTAGATTTCGTCAGTCTGGGGTCATTTCCTTACGCTCGTATATGTTTTGTCTGGTTGATAGGGTTAGACGTCCTATCAACAGCCAAGGTCATTTAAGGACGTATTTCCAAGTGTGTTGTGTATGCGTTCATGTATGTATGTGTGCCGACGGCAGGGTATGTTGGTGGTAGTGCCTCCTTGAGATAGCACGGATCTGATGCAGACTTTATTATGATATCTCACTGAAAACTACGCCGAAGGCACCCAGCACAGCATTCCGCCAGGTCACATTTTACAGACAAGGAGTGAAGCAGTCCGTCAATACATAATATTGTTCAACGTGCCTTTGAAACATTTCAAATATCTAATAGAAAATAAATGAATATATATTTGCATTTAAATCACAAAATTGGTCAATCACGTGCCTGTTTGCTCTCTAACATAACAGTATTTTAACAGTGCAACATGTTTAGGGTAAACAGGGTTTAATGTCATATTAACAGCTTAGTTTGTTTCAGGACGTACATGTATGTGTGTTTAATTTTATACGTGCATGTGTGCATTTGTGCTAGGAGTGCTATATCGGTGCAGAATATCGATGCAGAATTCAGAGAGCTACCTCACTGAAATGTCGAAGGCACCCATCACAGTTTTCAACACAGTCACATAATACTGACAATGGGTTGATAGTAAAGATACTAGCCAACGCATGTTAACATCTTTTTACAGCAATATCACAGTGAAATAAATATTTTAATACATTTCTTCAAACACTTCATAAATATATCAATTGTTTATCCTTAATGGAAATAGCAGCCGGATTTTGCTGAAATATTTTAATAAAAAATATATAATTGCTAATAAAATGCTGGATTCCTCTGGTGTCCGACCAACATTTTAAAAGGTATATTTTTGTGTCATTCTGATAGCGCAAAAGTGGCCCGCGTGGAAGTTGTCAGTGAATCAAAACTGTTACCCCATTAAATAAAAGGTTAAGAACTGCCAAATAGACAATAGATACTTCAAAGTGGGAGGTATTATAAAGTGCCCTAGCAATCAAAACGCTTCACGTATTGTTCTTGTTACAAAGCCGGTTATACGTTGTATAAAGCTGACGTGAAATCGATTGGTTTAGTGTGGTTTGGTTTAGTATTGTTTAACGTCCTATCCACAGCTATGGTCATTTAAGGACGACCTCCCCTGTGTGTAAGATGCATGCGTGTAGTGTATGCGTGTGTGTTTTGGGAGGCTGCGATATGTTCGTGTTTTGTCTCCTTGTGATAGCGGGGGAACTGATGCCGACTTTATAGTGCTACCACACTGAAACATACTGCCGAAGATACCCAGCAGGACACTCCACCTGGTCGCATTATACTGACAGTGGGCGAACCAGTCGTCCCACCCCTAAATTGCTGAACGTTAAGCAGGAGTAGAAACTACCATTTTTACAGACTCTGGTTTGTCTCGGCCAGGGGACAGAACGCAAAGCGTTACTCACAGGGACGAACGCTCAACTAAAGGTCAAAAGTAAGGCATTGTCAAGGAAGATATTAGGAAGAAAAAAGTTGTTAAGAAAGGTGAAATCGAGCGCAGTGAATCATTTATCATAAATATGCAATTACGTGTCAAGTCGGTAAGTCTTTAGAAGACGTGTGACGTTATTGATTTACTTCCACATCACTGTTAAGATGGGAAGAAATAAGTTAGGCTACTTGTAAGTTTGATTTTGCGATGGGGCCCTGCAGGGGATAATAGTTGTGATGCTTTACCGCAGAAATAAATTATCTACTCCAATTCCGTGATGATTGAGTACGGCCACGACGTATACCAAACATTATGCTATTTCCGGTTCCAGTAATTCGGTACGCTATTATAGTTTCTTGATAAAGAAGCAAATTTTATTCACAAGAAATATTAACTTTTGCCTGGCCCCAAATATGTTCATTTCAATATTGGCATGTGTCCAATTAACAAGTGGTGATGTATGCGTACTGCTAAGGTGATTTTATCGATTTCAATATTGGTTTCAAAGTGCGATAAGACGGACACGTATATTTAATAAATACAATAATGTTTTTAACAATATGGCCCTTTAATGCTGAAACTGATCTTACAAAAGTTATTTGTCATCGATTATTCACATAGCATTCCAGTCTCAATCTCTCATATTAGTTCCCGATTATGCTGTACCCTTGATGGGGGATTCCCTAACCGCTGTCAAGAGCTGTAACTACACATTGGAAACTGTTTTTGTTTTTCTGACATGCGGTAGGAAGGTAATCTTTAATTAATAAGGAATGAAAAGTTGCCTCACCAATAATCAGAAATTGTCACATCTCGCACAGAAATGTTTTAGGCAACCCACTGAAGCACACACAAAAACCCATTATCTTGATAGTTGAAAAAAACTTTAGACTTTAACATAAACGACTTACTCAGTCTGACGATTTTCTTCCCCGGTATTATGGCGGTGTATAATATAACTGGGCACAATAAAGGGGCATACTATTTTTTTGTTTTTTAATGGGAGACCTGGTTTTCCGAAATACATGTATGTTGAATATATAGTATGGTAAAATTTCCGAGACGAATAA